CCACTCAACCAGCTCATCGACTCATTGGAATATTTGATGATTGTATTTGAATTCAGTGCCCAGGGCTAGTTTTTGGAGAAATAAAACAAAAAAAGTCTTATAAAAGCTTCTTATTGGTCTGCTGTGTTTGTCACAAAAAACACTGTATACCAACAATATTACAAACAAGTAAACTTATCATAAAAGACAAATATTTTCTGTTTTATTACTATCTTTATTCAAGGCTGTCTTAAGTGTAATAATAGCTCTTGCAATGCGGGCTGTTAAAAACCGAGACAAACTAGGCGGAACATTCCATAACATTGTAAAATAAAAGAAAAACAACAAAATGGTTTTGATGGCTGAAAGCCAGTCATCCGGTTGGCATTCCTCTGCGCCGTTCACTTTTACTGCTTTTTTACGTTCCGGTTTGCTGCCGCAGGCATAACTACCGCAACTTCTCTGCCTCTCTATCTCAGCAAGTCATAACCGTGGAAATCATAACCGTATACGCACGAGTTAAGCTCACTTACACATTTCTGGGTTAATGGCAATATCTTTGTTACGTCATTTTTTTTCAGCACCTTATATATGTTTATATGATATCTTAGATTATATACTCAGTGACATAGAAGTGTTACACCCAGAAATAATAATTTTTTCAACTTGTTTTTTTGGCAATGAGGTTGTCTTACATCAAGAATGAAACTTTATTGACAAGTAATAAGAAAAAAAAATAATGTGTTGGGTAACCCCGCAGCTGAATACACTCCTGTGTACGTCTAGGCATCGACAAAATGAGATGATCGATGTCTGGTTGTGGCACCTCATTCCAAGCAACTCGAACTTCGTGGATTAGCTGTGGCAGAGTCTTAACACTAGTAAATGAAAAGGCAATAACTAAAAATATCTGTACTACTCAGCTCTCAGAAACTGCTTTTTCCACAAAAACTAAGGTGAACAAAAACAAAGATAAAACGTTGACATTGTCGCCACAGCATGCTCTAAATATAGTCATTGTTGCCAAAAAAGTCAAAGAAATTATTTTTCTGGGTGTAACACTGAGCATATTTAGATGGTTGATCCATTTCCAAGTTAACTCTCAGAACGCGTTTTTCAATGTCAGGTTTGTCATAAAATGGTAGTTAACTTTTAATTAGAAGCCCATCTACTGGTTGACTATTATGTATGTATCGAAGAAAGAGACTAAACCAAAGCAGTGATCATCGTGTGATCATCACACAGCCGTGACGTGACAGTGCTGTGACCGGCACGTGATGCGCCCGGTGAAACTAAGAATCATTCTTTCTGGAATTTGGATGAACTGATTCACACTGGAAGTGACCGTGTTCTCAGTGCCCTCAACGACGCCGTACCGTGATCATCGCATTTTTTTGGAACGATATTTTTCGATTTTCACGGCCGTGTTTTTATGTAATTTCGTGAATATTTTGATATAACTGGTCAAAAACATGAATACATCCCGTACCCTAGAACCAGTTAAATTCAAAATACAAGGACTTTCGTTTTCTTCTCGTTTCTTCTTCATCTTTCGTAGGTGGTAAACGGTCTGACTATTGAACGCGGAAGTTCCCCCGTGTTTCCTCCTATAGCACCGCGGTACTCCATGGTTGTTCAGGTCTTAGGCCTCCGTAGTAGTTGGAGTATAAAAAAATCCAGAATTAATGCAATAATTGCAAGTTCATCCTCTGAAAATTTTGCCATCTTGACCTCACTGTGATCTCACGTCAGCGAGAATCACTGGCACGTCACAGCACTATCACGTCACGGCTGAGTGTGAATAGACCTTAACTGTTATTGGGCAGAATAGGTCGAGCCCTTACACAGAACCAATGGCAAACCGTAGGGTGGAATGGGAGACGATTCGACGTGCATGCAGCCTGGTCCGGTGGCCGGTCGTTAATGCTATATACATTTATACAGTACAGAGTTGGCATCAGATTTATTCTGGTATTGCTGTGTGCTTATTAAATGTGTCAGTTCAATTTCATATAATTCAAAATGTCTGATACGGATAAAGCTGATGAAGTTGTTTATATGAGCTGCATACCGCCTCACTCACGTGTTCAGGACATTGTTTGCAAAGTAGCAAGTATTTCGGGCTTTAGTCGTGCAAGTTGTAACGGTTTCACCGTCCGATTGTATTTATTAAATCACTTCTCGATTTTCATTTCAGAATCGCAACTCATTAATCCCATCTCTAGCTTATCCCATCTCTAGCTTTTTTACTTGGAAACATTTCCGCTTGCAGCGCGCTTGATGCGGAGTGCCTGATCTGTGATCTTCCTCGCGCTTCCTTTTCACTTGAGCCACCGATCTAACAAGAGCTGAGAATTTTGTTCTCTGTAGCATGAGGTCATATAGCACCATGTGCTAGCATTTTGTAAAATGTGTGTCCAAATAGGATAAAACGATTGGGGCCACCCCCTTTTCCTTACCCTTTGCCTTTGCCTTTGCCCTTACCTTTCTCCTTTGTCTTTGGCTTTGCCTTACTTGGCCTATCACTTTGCCATGCCTTCACCCATGCATGTGCCTTGGCAGCGCCATCACTTACAGCTTCATCCTTGATGAAGATCACGTTTAAGCTCAACTTCACTGCATCCTTCGCCTACAACTAGTTTTGAAGCCACTAAATGTGAGGTCACCCCTCATAACTGGGACCTCCACTTGAAGCACCTGGCCATCCTCGCTTCAGTCCAGTCAAAATGAACCAGCTTAGCGAAAGATAAGTGGATGATTTTGTAACAGCGCCAAAGATTTAAATCTTTCATTTTGTTCTTTAAAATTTCAATTTCAAATGTAATGAAAGTGCTTTTCTAGTTAAATAAAATCTGTTAAATTTTTGTGTTCTGTTTGTTCTTCTATCCTCTAGCCATGCCATGGTCGACACACAGCTACACGCCTGTAGATGTCTTCATGCCACTGACTGAGCTACCGGAAGCTAATGGTAACCCCCTTTCTGTGATTGTGCAGAAAAGTTGGAATCTTCATTGCATTCCATCTTTTCTGGACTTTTTGCGGAAAGGAAGCATTACAAAGTGTTTACCGAATTGTTCGGGAGTACAGACCTAACCATTCTCTGGTCGACCCAAACAAGTATCCGCCAAGGAAAAAAAACAACGATGCCATAGATGACTTCGTCAGAACCGCCATAAGAAGATTTGTACACATTTTTTTCTTTCGTAATGAATCACCAACGGTGGATAAAGTGCTGAAGCTGGTTAACGACGATAATGACTTGCCAAGTTTCAAAAGATCCTTCCATAAATTATTAAAAGAAATGGGATTTAAGTACAAAAAGCGGAGAAGAAGCAGTATTTTATTGGAAAAAGACGAAATAGTTATTTGGAGAAGGAGCTATCTAAGACAAATCAGAAAATTTCGTGCAGAAGATAGGAAAATATACTCCCTAATATCATATTTTTTTTTTGTTTTTGTACATGCTTAAACTATATCGAGATAAGAAATAAAGAAATCATTTTGTTGGGTCTTTAATAATGCTTTCTTTGGGAGCGATTTTGAAGTGTCCAAAATGAATGATTTTTAGGAAAAGGGTAGTAATTTATAATTTGTCACATCTATAATGAAGATGGATTTGTGTACGATGATTCAAAAAAAAACGGGAGCCATGAAGAAATGGATGGCGCCTCGTTCGAAAAGTGGTTCTCAAATAATTTACCGAAGCTTGGAGTTGATTCGGTTATAGTATTAGATAATGCTTCATACCACATAAGAAAATTAGAGAAAACTCCAACAACGTCAACAAAAAAATCAAAAATTCAAGTATGGCTTGCAAATAAAAAAATTGGTTATGATGATACAATGATTAAGGCAGACTTGTTACAAATTGTCAAGACGCATAGAAATAAATATAACCTAAAATAAAACTGTTTTACGTTTGCCTCCTTACCATTGTGAGCTCAATCCGATTGAGCTCATTTGGGTAGACACAAAAAAATATGTTGCAGCAGAAAATGAAAGTTTTAAATTTTCTGACCTTAAAAATATTTTTCATGATGATGATGTTTTAGTTTAATATTCAGATTAACTGTTTGCACACTGACGTTCATGCTCAAGCGGTGGTAACGTATATGCATATGCAATTATTTTTGTGTGTCAAGACATTTTTTGAAAGCCTGCTACAAAAATGCGCCTTACGACACATTTCGAGTATCATTTCTTGATAAAATACTTCTACTAAAAACAACAATAGACAGTTTTTTTGCCATGACAGTTAAATTAAAAAAAAATATATTAATTCCAAGCTTCACGTTTGGACCCTATACACGCCTGCAATAATTTTGCATACTTTTTTATCGTGTCGTAAAACCACAAATCATTCTTAGTACGGCCCTGTAACGTGCACGGTGTTCTGGAGCGCGATCACGTGGAGTATACGTGAATATGTTTAGGTTTAGCCTCTTTCTTCGATGGATACATAATAGAAAGTTGCAGTTAAATTGCATTGTCTAACTTCTTTTGCTTGACGGTGACATAACTTGTCACGGATGACACGAGATACAAACATCGAGCTTCGTAAAACGCACAAAACACGATCTTCCAGACGTGGAAGCAGCGGTGCCAGATCAACAGTGACGTGTATTAAACTAGAACTTGAAAAACGAATCCACGGCCAGCTGATAATAACTTTGCAAGTTATAGCTACCAAATACAGGTATAGAAAGAAGTTAACCAGCGATTGAAAAACCGGACCTAATAGTACGTTTCCAATACATGCACATATTATGCCGAGTGCAGCATGGAAACGAATTTTAACGAACTAAAACTTTTTTATTCCTTCAGCGTTGATGAGATATTGTTCTTCTCAGATATAGATATTTGCGTAAGGGACCCCTAAAGCTTGAATTTCATTGCTCTATACTGTCCTATGATGGCTATATTCTTGAGGTTCTTTGGGAGATATTAATGTTTCTCTTATGTAATGACCTACTGGATACTTTAAACTGTTCTATATGGTTAATTTTTTCTGTACTACGACAATGACCATCGAAATACATGTCGTCCTAAAACATTATTTTTCTTTGCAGGTGTTAGTGGAATACGACGATGTGGAATGGCAAAGGCGAGAATGGATAAGCGTGTACAAAGATGGCCTGTTTCATCTGTTCATGATCGAGCAAACACTGGTTTGGGCACATAGAAGGGATCCATACACTAACGCACACAGCACAGCTTTGTGGCCCGCTCTTGTAAGTATTTACGTTCACCTATATTCACAAAAACGGTCAAAATATATTTTAACACCCTGGGTGATTTTATAAGCATAAAAAAATACAGAAAACATTCGAATTGACCTTTGGAAACGTTGACCTTTAAGCTATTTCTCTACATAGTCGCCATTGCCGCTTGGAAACTGCTCCTTGCCACTCAGGCACTGAGCGCCGCCAATAGGCGCTTCTTGTTGGGATCGGTGGTTGGAGATCCGACAAACACGATGGTGTTGCAAGATTTCGCCTTGCATCACGCGCGGCAAAGCTGCAGCGTTTGGGAACCTTATTTCGAAAAAAAACCCTCCAAGATGCTTATGGGTTTTGGTCATTCGTTGTTATTTTGTATAGAAAAACTTTATGTCAGCCCGCATATCTGCTATGCTGACAGGTGTGGAGTCTTGGATTTTGAACTTTTTATTTTACTCAGTTTTAGTCTAATTTATCTATTTTTCGTAATTGTTGAATAATCAATACAGAATGGTCAAAAACGCAAAATATACTTTCCTATGGTAGTACAAATAGTTTAAATGTTAGTTATGTTTACTTATAGGAGTCATTTACAGACATTTCAAAAATTAATTTTATAATATCTATCTGTAATATGAATTAGAACACAAAAGCGGTAGATTACTTGATTACTTGCGGCATTCCATTTAGGAAAAATTAACTTTGATATACGAGCCAAAATTGGGACACCCTGTATAATTGTCAATATTTTAGAAATGTCCCTTCAGACACGATAACTAGTTTTCTTCGAAAACATTTTATTTAGGACCAATACTCCATCCTCGAATGAGTAAATTGGGGTTTTCCTTTTCAGACACAACTAAGCTTGATATAACAAAGCTAATGTGTAGTGAAACGTGAGCGAACGAGTACAAAAAATAAATGAAAAAGTACTCACTGCTCAGTTGAATTGAAATTCCAAGTACGGCTCTGTCGTGAAATCCGTATTTACATCGTAGTCGTACGTCGTATAACTGTACGCTGGTGCTGACGCTGTGGACGTGATCGAGCGATAGGACAGGACCGGCTTCGGTTTGGTTCAGGTTTGACTGGGTTTGCGGAGCCCAATATCGCGGTTCTCTTAAGACATTGGTGTAGATGCTACTAAGAAAATCCGCTTATTTTCTCAAGGAAAACCCCAACTTTGTGTACATAGCTGAAATGGACATGCTTGTTTTCCGCCTGTGTAATCCTGACCAACCGTAGATAGCGCTGTTTCGTGCTTATTAGCGACTCATCAGTGCGGTATAGGAAAGCGAACAAGTGGTGAAAAACTCAAAACGTTGTGCGCATGTATGCGAAACTCTGGCCTACAAATGATTTGTATAGAAAATAGTTTTGTCGGAGGGACGGTGACCTTGGCTTTTAGATGACTTCAAGACCACGCCTTTTTATAACATATTTTTTATTTCATTAAAATAGGATGGATCTCATGATTGTCAGTGGTGGCCATTGATGACAAGATGAATAAAATCCATACAAAATAATTTTATCAATATTTTTGTATCAAAACATTATTTATTATATGAATGTTCCGATAGCTTTTATTTCGAGTAAAAAATGTATTTTTGTTTCAGACATTCACTGCCTTAGTTTCATCAGTTGACTTACCTAATCATCTCCAGCCTGTCGAATTTCTGGTAGACAGAGAACTTGCTTTCAAAGATTACAAGCAGCTGAAGCCATACTTGGTAAGTTCTACGTTTCGGATTGTCTGTTACGTTAGCCTTTTCCAAATTACAGATGACAATGACAATATTCGAGCGTCATTTGTTTTACTTATGAATGTAACTAAAATATGTATATCTTTTTTAGCATAGTGACCATAAACCTTCAAAGATTTGACAAATCGTAGCACCTGTTTTTCGATCCCGTCCTCAAAGAACGCTTCAACCTCCCCTTATTGTTTCTTTCAACATGTCATTATTTCCCAAGCACTTTCCAACAAGAAATTTCGTAGATTTTGGGAAAAGGTGAAAGTCTGTTGGTGCTAAAGCAGAAGCTGTATATATAGTTGATGATCCAGTAATTCGCAACGAAACTATCCAGTTGCGACTATATTCTTGCCACAACGTGAGACTGAGAGAAATTCAACAAACTTCTGGTCAATTTCAGCAGGATGAACTTTTTTTAGCGACAAACAAAGCGGTATAACCATAACCAACACCGACAGAGAGACGTGAAACGTAAAGGCGGCGTAGTGAGCGACTGGCCAAGTGTGTCTGGAACGGACGTCACGTAACAAGATACGCGATTGTTACTTTTATAATGATCCAAGTATTTTATGTTTATCTGTCTTCCAAGTTCCAGTTAGTTTGTTTTTAACGTTTCTTCGCTACTCTACAGTGCGTTGCGATAATAGCCTAAACTGTGGACAGGGCTGCGACGATTTAAATCAAATGATTTGTATCATGATTTTAAATCAGTTGTCGTCCAAGCAAACAACTGAAATAGCTCATCAGGGAATTCAAAAAAGTTTATTTAAAATATTATCGGTATCTAAATCTAACTGCTTGAACTGCTTCCGTTTTCTGACATACATCCCAGTGTGTTTTCATCCGTTCAACAATTCCTTGTAATTCAAATTCGTATTTTTACAGCTCACCGTGCTTTTTTCTATTTTTCAATAAAATGTTGCCAAATAGGGTATTTTTTTCTACCAGCACTTCGGGGCATTTCAGGTATGTTTTGGAAACACACGACGATTTAAACAAGAAAGGATAGGGAATCAGAACACGCAATTTACTTATGAACGTATGGGCCGACTATAAGTCAACCGCTCATTGTAAAGACGTACATTTTTTTATTAACGAGGAGATTTTGTTACTATAAATCTAGATTAGAGAGAAATAATGAAAATCAGTTATTTCAAAGTTTCTTATTGCCATATTTAAGGAAAAAAAATAGTACATTTTGATGAAAATAAAAAAAACGAAAATAGATTTTTTGATTTTTTCAAAAAAATCATGTTTTTTTGCAACACTGGTCCTGGACCATACCCAGGTAGGCATTTCCGCTTCAAATGCATGCATTCAAAGAATGTTGACGGACTGGATACCATTCTAGAATGTTTTTAGTATGATACGGTATAATGAGCAAAAATCTTTATAGGTACATATTTCCATTTTGAAAAGTTGAAGTTCACTGGTATATGCCTACGATCTTATTTGAAGAAGCATATTCCCACATACAGACTCGATTTATAGGGTACTATAAAAGTTTTGCAATATGACTTAACAAACGGACGTAGGAGGCATGTTACTGCATGTTGAGACATGTCCATGGGTGCATAGTAGCCACCAGCAGGACGTCTGTTGATTCAGTTGTTCATTCGTATTGACAGTGTAAATTGCGGACTATGAAATCGTGGTCACGTAGTGAGATGAGGGCAGTTTTACGGTATAACTTTACGCGTGGTTTAAGCATAAACCAGTACTTAGAAGAAATGACGCTTGCATTAAAGAATGATTGTCCTCATCTTACGACTATATTCAGATGGTAAAGGGAATTCCAAAGGGGCAATTTTACTCTGGAAGACGCTGAGAGGGAAGGAAGCCCGCGAACGTCAGTAAAAGAGGAAACATTACTGCTGTGAGGAAAATGAGAGACCTTATACCTCCATGCACCAGCAATTCATTCAATTCTGTATGACCATTTACACGTAAGAAAACTTTGGTTGTTGTACAAGGTGATTACCTTGTAAAACAACTGCAACCCCTTATTCAAAAAATAATCACCACGAACAGAATATCAGATGAATGGAGGAGAGCGATCATGCTGATGTTCTTCAAGAAAGGAGATAAGAAAGATCCCAATAATTATTGAACAATAAATCTGCTAAATATAACACTCAAATTGACAACAAGAATAATAGCGACAAAAATAAACGAACAAATAACTCTGCAAGAGGGACAGCAAGGATCGCGGACAGGAAGATCATGCACGGATTCAGTTTTTGTAATGAGACAAATAAAAGAAAAGTCGCTGGAATACAACAAACCAGCATATATGTTCCTGATAGATTTGAAGAAAGCGTTTGATAGAGTGACAATTCCGGACGCGATACATTTATTATATGACAGGGGAATACCACTGGATTTAGTAAAAACTATTGAGAATATATATAAAGAGGACATAGCTATGGTAATATGTGAAGAAAAACTCTCGCAACCTATCAAGTATGAAACTGGCATTAGACAAGGAGATTCGCTGAGCCCACTAATATATTTAATCTAATATTGGATGAAATCATAAAGAAAGTTAAAAAAAGAAGAGGATATAGAATGGGAGAAAAGGAAATGCAGATAATATGCTACACCGACGACGCAATAATAATAACAGAAAACGAAGATGACCTACTAAGATTAATTAAATAATTCGAAGATACGGCGCTCATACACAACATGGTGATTTCAACAGAGAAAACTAAACCGATAGTGATATCAGCGGAACCGAGACGATGTAAACTGGTCGTAAATAACAAAATAATAGAACAAGTGATGGAAACGGAATACTTGAGAATCCAACTGTCAAGCTATGGAAAAATGGAAGAAGAAGTACAAAAACAAGTGAACATGGCGAACAGATCAGCAGGATATCTCAACAATACAATCTGGAGAAACAAATACCTCACAACGGAAATGAAAACTAAGATATACAAATCAACAATAAGGCCGATAATGACCTACACAGCGGAAACAAGAGCAGATACAGCGAAAACACAAAGTTTATTGGAAACAGCAGAAATGAAAGTCTTACGGAAAATAACAAACCAAACTCTAAGAGACGGAGTAAGAAGTGAGGAAATATGAGCGAGGTGTGGTATAGAGGAAATAAACATATGGACCAAAAGAAGAAAAATAAAACACATAGAAAGAATGACAGAAAATATAACAGTACGAATAGCAAGAGACAAATCGCCAAATGGAAGAAGATCAATGGGACGACCGAGGAAAAGATGGTCAGACAACATCAATTGAGGCTAAAAACCGAAGTAAAACAGGCATGAGCCTATTAATAAGGTAGGAAGAAGAAGAAGAAACTTTGTTCTCTCTGGCTACCGCATAGTCTGACGGAAGATCAGAAGACTCGTCGTACTAGTTGGTGACGAAAGATGCTGAATATGTTTGTGAATATGTCTGTCAACAGCATCGTGACAGGTGAAGAGACTTGGCTCTATTATTACGATGTGCCGATCAAGGCTCAAAACAAAGATTGGGTCTGTGATGATGAGGACACAGCCGTAGCGGTCAGAAAATCCCAATCCAAGAAAAAAATGATAGCTGTATTTTTAAAATGGAAATGGACTGTGGAGCGTGTCGTTTTGGACACACAGAAGACAGTCACAGCTAAGTGGTATACGGAACAATGCCTGCCTAAAGTCATAGAGTCAATGAACAGCCTGCGGCCAAAGTCAATAATGGACACTTAGTACCTCCACCATGACAACGCACCAGGTCACCGCTTTAAAGCTTGGACTGCACTACTGGACTAAAACTTACGGAGCACCCTCCTTACAGTCCAGATCTTGCTTCCTGCGACTTCGCACTGCTTCCGCATGTGAAAATGAAGCTAAAAGAAAAAGGTTTCCTAGCGATGCGGACCTTCCGCGGGCTTGGACAACGGGTGTGCCGCACTCGCGGGTGAAACTTGGCAGAGCTGGTGGATTGATTTTGGCGGTTTTATTGAATTTGTTGGAAATTACTTTGAACGTCAGTATATAAAGCTACCTTGCAAAACTTTTTTAGTACCCTTTTACAAACGTTTCATCATCGATTATGTATGTACAATCAAAGCGATGTCCTTTGTTAACATTTACCTATTCACAATGCTCTAGATACGTCGAACCTGTCGATTAGGCGACTTTCAGATGCACTCATACCAAACACGGTAGAATGGGATCACCTTATATGGGACATATTTCACCAATCGATACCCAAATGAATAGTGTAAACAAGATGGCCGCTCTCGCTGTATGCATCGTCTATCTATAACGATGTCGCTCGTAAACAACGGTAATTGCGATGGCCTACATTTCATGAAATTAATTTATTCATAGATTTATTGTCTAGAATATCGAGTAATTCATTGCAGTTGGATAGCGTGTCACACCTAAAATTCACTCGTGCCTGTGGCATCGAATGCCCGGAATATTAACAAAGAGCACTCGGAGGTGCCAGGCATTTTATTAAAAAATGGCGCACTTCCCACGCAAAGTTTTAAGGGTACATATACTGAGAAATCTATGGTGTGAAATGTTTTTTATCTCTAAATTTTTTTTCAATAATGATCAGGTAAGACTATACTTTAGCGCATATCGCAAATATTTTATTTCTTATTTTAAAATTAAAGACAAGGATGTAACTTTTACGAAAATATCATTTTTTCTTTAAGGAACCCTATGCTTAGTATTTTATAGAACTTCAAAGATGCTTTTTTGGTGGTAATGCTCTAGAATACAATACTGTTTTATACGCTGTTTTTTTTGCTTCTTGTACAAAAGGAGGCTCTAAATAACAAGAATATAACATACACTGTATAGTACTAAGGAAAATAGATGTTAAACTGTAAAAAAAACGTTGGTTGTTCAAAGAAAAAGGTTAAAAACTAGCCGTATAATAAGCTGAAATGACAGTTCCAAATACATACCTCTAAGACTATACTTTAGCGCATAAAGGCCGAAATTCTTGTTTTATTTCGGAAAAAATTGAAAACATCAGCAGAAATGATCATTTTTTAAAAATAATAGATGTGAAACCATAAAAATTCGTTGTTTTTTGCAAAAAAAAAGACAGTTTAAAACTAGCCGTGTAATAAGCTA